CTAGCTGGCTCGCTAGCTGGCTGGGTAGCTGTAGCTAGCTAGCTAGGCAGCTAGCTAGCTAGCTAGCTAGCTAGCTAGCTAGTGACTGGATACAGAGGAGGATGAGCGGCTGACGACATGAACTCTGCTGCTGGGGTAATCATATGGGTGAAGCATCCCCCGCTGCTGCTGCAGCTGCTGCTGCTGCTGCTGCTGCCTTTGCTGCTGCTGCTGCTGCTGCTGTTTGTATTTTCTGCTTCGAGTTGAAGGAGGAATTGTTTTTTGTTTGTGATGTCTGCTAGGCAGCAAAAGGCGTTGCTGCTGCTGCTGCTGCTGCTGCTGCTGCTGCTGCAGCAGCAGGTATTCATCTTGTTCTTGCTGCAGCAAGTAGTCTTCCTCGTGCTGCTGCTGCTGCTGCTGCTGCTGCTGCTGCTGCAGCAGCAGATATTCCTGCTGCTGCAGCTCGCTAGAATACACAGATTGAGAGGAAGCAGCAGAAGGGGGGCCATCGTCTGTTGGGGTTAGGCATGCTTCTTGTGTTGGAAATCTCCCTGCTGCTGCTGCTGCTGCTGCTGCTGCTGCTGCTGCTGCTGCTGCTTCTGGTGCTGCTGCTGCTGCTGCTGCATGCAGAGGAGAACCCTCGCTATAGTAGGCTGTGTTGGGCCTGCTGCTGCCGAAGGCTCCTAGCTGCAGCTTTTGCTGCTGATCGAGCAGCAGTTGCTGCTGCTGCTGCTGCTGCTCCATCTGCTGCAGCAGCAGCATTTGCTGCTGCTGCAGCTGCTGCTCCTCCTTCATTAGCCTCGATAGCTTTGCGTTTGTCTCTGCTTCTGAGCGTACCTTTCGTGAGGTTGCTGCTGCTGCTGCTGCTGCAGCAGCAGCAGCAGAGCTGCATGACTTGCTTCTGCAGCAGCAGCAGCACCGCCCTCTCCTCCCTTGCCGCTGCTGCTGCTGCTGCTGCTGCTGCTGCTGCATGCTGGGGCTTTCAACGAGAGATCTAGAGGGGCTGTGCTGCTCGCTGCTGCTGCTGCTGCAGCAGCAGCAGCCGTGGCAGTCGTTGCTGCATCCTTTGCTGCTGCTGCGGACACGGTGAACCTCCTGCTGCTGCTGCTGCTGCTGCTGCTGCTGCTGCTGCTGCT